AGCTAAGCTCCTCCGTGGCACTGCTGCCTCCGCATCCCTTCTGTGTGGCCAAGCAGCCTGCAAGGACCTGAAACTTACTGACCCCTTCAGACAAGCACATGCTCTAGGTACAGCCCAGGGTCACGAGCACATTGTAAGCTCCTGACAGGACATCTCCAACAGCCCTTGAGATCAGCAGTCTCCCTGCCCCCCAGTGCCCGTATGCCTTATGCGTCCCCCAGATAAGACCCCCAAGCTGTTACAGCACAAAAGCAGCAGTAGATACACACAAACTTACCAAACTCCACTTTTCTGGTTTGAATTGACCAATCCGACCCTAGCTGGGGAACCCCAAGGCACTCCACCCACAGGCTCTAACAAAGGCTTGTGCCCCAGGTCCTGCCTCTGCACTCTGCCTTGACCTTCACTGGTGGCCCCTCCAGGCTTACCGTATTTCCCCATGTATAAGAAGCACCCTTTTTTTTTTTTTTTGAAAAATTTGGGGTCTAAAAACTGGGTGCGTCTTATACAGTGGTAGTATGAGCACAAAAATAAGCACAAAAAAAGCAGGAAATGCAAGTAAAAAAAAAACTACAACCAAGAGACCTTCTCTATCTGGGGGCTTTCTAAGCTGCAGTGCTGGAGCCCAGAGATGATGGTACTTATCTTGTCCCGGAGAAGAAATGGCTGACCCAGAAATACACATCAAGGGTGGATGAATGCTATCAGCTAAGCCTCTGGATCCAACCACTCCCACATTCCCAGGCCTAGGGACCAGAGAATTCCCTCTGTGTCTAACTTCACTTCAAATGGGTTTCTTTGACTTGTAACCAAAAGATACCCGATGAACTCAGTCCAGCTTTACTGTAAGGCAGGCAGCAGCAAACTGCCGCCTGTGGGCCACATTCAACTCACCATCCGTTTTGTAAATAAAGTTTTATTTGAACAGAGCCACATCCCTCTGTTTATGTCTACCTACTGCTTTTGTGCCGTAACAGCAGAGCTGAGGACTTGAAACAGAGACATGCAAAGTCGAAAACATTGACTATCTTGTCCTTTCAAAATAAGTTTGTTAACCCCTGATATAAGGCATACCACTTTTGTATACATTTTTGTAGGCAAATTATGCTATTCCACCATGAAAACATAGCATCAAATACTCATCAACTAGTTTGTGTACCTATGATTAAAAAACATTAATCAAGAAATGTTCAGATACCTGTATTTCCCTGCCTCTTCGGCATAAAGCACGCTGGCGGGAAAGTTCATCTAGTTGATGGTCTAGGTATTCCTTTCTTCTATGCATCTCCTGAATGTGAGAAGGTAAGTCTTTTTCTTAAAAA